CTTTTGTATTTCTTCATAATCTTTGTAATTATACGCTTCCAAGTACAATTTATCATGCCATTGTTTAAACTGATTTACAATAATATCAAAATATTTGTAATGTATTTTAGCAGCAAAATGCTATCAGTTTTAATGTTTCAATTGCAAAATCAAATTACCTGTGTGTAAGATTTCAGAAGATGAACAGTTTTGGGTTGATTGCTATGGTAGGAAAGTATTGCTTAAATTGCCATGGTATTTACCATGTGAACTGCGATGGTAGTATACTGATTGGATTCCTTGTTCACCAAGTAAAAACATTAGCATTAGTTGTGTTACAAAAAAGTTCCTTTAAAAATATTAACTTTTAAAATAATTTCTTTCCCTTCTTTATACCTACTAACTATGCACATTGAAAATGTATTAGACACACTCTTTTGTAATAGACATACCAACATACTGCATACGCATTCATACAAATTAAAATAGAATCAAATCCTCTATGCAGTACTTCTCTAGTTGAATACCAACACCCTTTAAAAGATTGGGTAGGTTCACAATAAAATTTCATTGTTTTCAATAAATAGGATTTATACATTTACTTAAAGGTAAATTGACAAGAACAGTATCATATAAAGTATCAAAAGATGTTTCTATTTATTTGGTAATATCTGGTTGATACTAAAAAAATGTAATATTTTTAAATATGTTGCTAAAAATAGAAATGCATCAAAGTCCATGCTCAAAATCAACCTGAACTGCAAAAGTAAGAAAATATTTTTTAGATCCATAAAGAAAAGAAAAGAAAATGAAACAATAAAGTTGTATTTGTACAGATTCTTGTAGCTGATTGTTAATTATGCTGAACATACTCATGTTGGTAGGTAGCTGAAGGACCAACTGATAGGTAAATAAATAAATTATATAAACAATAGGTAAATAAGTAAATTATATAAATGATAGGTAAATAAGTAAATTATATAAACGATAGGTAAATAAGTAAATTACATAAACGGTAACTAAACTGTTAACTGTTACTCTTAGCTGGAGTGAGAGGTATTAGTAAGCAGATTAGTAAAGTTGGTAAATTCCAATGCAATTGGTAAGAATAATGCAGTAAGCATACAAATACAGGAGGAGGAAAAGGATTAAATGTAGTAAATATCTTTAAAGAAACATCATTACCCAATGAACCCTCTGAAATTTCATCATCAATTTCTGCATTTGAAGAATTAAACCAATGCTAACAGGAAGATATTTATTTGTCATTGTCATGTTTCCTGCTTCAAGGGTTGGCTGGTGGTCAATTAGTTTGCACTGATCACCATATTTATAACTGTTTTTTAATTGTTTCTTTTAGGTTATTTTTCCTTCCTTTGTTTTTTTTTGTATTTTTTCATTTTTTTACTGAATCATTTATTTTTGAATTTTGCTTTTGTGTATAAAGTTTTGTTTTGAATGCATGCATGATCAACAAGTCACACCTAGCATCAGAATTTTAAAATTGGCCTTGGAAACATTAGCTGGTTCTCAGATGATAGTTTTCAAAAGAAATTCATTTTCTGCTTTGATTTTTACATCATTATTTTGCAACATATTAAAAACAGAAATGCTTATTAGCAATAGGTACACAGTACCATTGCCTCCAGTTACATTCATATATAGAAAGGGATATCTTTTAAAGGATGTGTGGCAAGTGTAAAAGAACAGAGGTTCAAATCATGACTTAGTCTGTTGCATTCACTTTTGCACTAATGTTCTTGGGGAAGGTATGAATCCCTACTCCAGCCATAGGTTAAATAGCAGAGTAGACTGGTCTCTCTAGCCATGTATGAGAGCCAGTCTAGAAGGACTACTTTGAGTTTAAAAGCAATGAGAAGGCAATGGAAAACAAATCCAATAGTTCCCCCAAAAATGTGTGACAATTCACAGATAATAAAAATAGAATCTGTGGAGAGCTATGATTGTCTACATCCTGAAGGGACATAACATTAAAAAGATTTACTTACACATTTTTTAGTGTTATCTATTTTATAGAGGCTGTTGCACAAAACATTTTTTTAAAAAATTTATGAAATTATAATTACACTTTAGAAACATGAGAGATTGATAAATAGAGTTTCCCTTCTGAAGCATTATCTCATTAAGTTTGTTGAGTAAAGAGAATTTTTTTCAGGAAATTTCATCAGTTATTAATGAAATCTTCAGATGATCACATGAAATTCCTAATTAGATTCTTATTGACTTTTAAAATATAAAAGCCCTTAAAAAGGTCAAGCATACTTTGTATAAGTTAACATATTTTATATGGCCTCATATTCTACAAGTTATCTCAATGCTTGACAAGATGTATAAGCAATAAGTATTGCAAGAGTTATACTCTGATTATGATCCATAGTAATACATTCAAAGAAATAAGATATATACCATGCTTACATTGTACAATTTTTATAAACATAATAATTCAAATCAGTTTTTAATAACACATGCTTAATTTTCTGATGATGAAATTTTATCAGTAAAGAGATTTACCATGAATATATTTACTTAGCAAGTACTTCCTTTAAACCAATAAGACAACTGCATTGGCTGAATATCTACAGATAACTACAAATTAGTTTATTGAAAAGCTTTTTATCAGCTATTAAAGTCTATACAGTCTTGTATTTTGCATTAATCCATAAAAATATTATCTTCTTTTAATATATGCATTTCACCAATATAATTTATTTGTTAATGAAAGAAGTTTTAAACATTTATTTGGTCTCCTGTCACTTCAAGATACATATTCCCTTACAGACTTATACATTTAAAATACTATTCAGTAATATAATGAAGTTTCATGAAACACATAAAACACAAATATAAATAGATTTGGTGTTGTTTCTAATTTAGTCATTTTGAAAGAAAAAATCTTATGAATGAGAATTTTTAGAAAAATGTAGATTTACTTTGAAAATAAAATATATTTCATTGCTGTGAATTTTTGTAATTTTGATTGAGAATATTTTTCAAGTTCTACAATATTATCAATGCCTGCTTATGTTAATTTATCTCATCAAATTTCAGTTGGATTTTTTAGATAATTCTATATAAATCACTTTCAGTAGTATTAAGTGCTTTGAAAAATCTATTCTTTCATTTAGTGAGAGTAATTAAAAATGATATGTGAAAAATTCTGATTTTAACACTGAAACTTCATATGTTATAATCAAGGATGTATTTTTGGGATGACCATTAAAATCGGTCTACTTTCTTACAAAAAATCTCTTCATGAGAATTGTGAAATCAATACAAAAACTATTGTTGCATTGGTTTCTATGCATTTATCTGCTGTAATGAGGCCCTTTTGGATCTCTATGAAAACTGTTTTCTTTATCATTGATTGTTCATAGATATGTCAGGTGATATAAGAATATAGCCCACCTTCCTCAGTTTGAGTCATATGTCTGTCATCATCACAAGAACTTTATTTATAATTAAATTATTATATTTGTTGAAGTGCTGCAGTCTGTTCCATGTCATCTGATATATTTTTTGTTTTTCAAGATCAATAATTCTCATTAAATTCACTGTTACATTTTTTGAGTTTTTGCTTAAACATTCAATGTTGATTCATTTAGTGTCATATAAAATTTTTAATAATCAACATCTTAATGGATATCATTTATATGAACTGAATAAGTATATATTTCTTTGATTTGATTAAATAGTCTAAGACTTTAAAATGTTATATTTTTTCAATATAAATAGCATATTTAGAACAGTATAAGCACCAATAAGTATATAAGTATGAAAAGAATTTTTTGCATCCTACAAAAATATCAGCAAATTATTTTAAGTAATGAAAACACAAAAATCATAATCACAAAATGTTATAGAAGTTGATTAAGAGTTTCACATTTAGACATTGGCTTTCTTATGTCATACTTTCAGAATACATCTTCAATACAATACAATATAAAAAGAATTATTCTATTTGTAGAACATTTTATGAGTCCTATTGTCATCAAAATTATATTTTACTCAAATGTTTTAGATAAATATAAGTGAGACTATGTCAAAAGAGATAATGCTTCTTTTATTTTTCATTTTTTCAGTCTATTCAATTTGAGCATTTGAAAAGATCTTGTTTAGCTTTCAATTTTTTATTTCTTCATTTTAAATACTGATTTGTTTTTCTTCTGTTTTAATGTTTTTATTTAATGAAGGAAATCTTTCTATTTTGCACGTTTCAAAAATGATGTCTAAGTTCATTTCCAAAATTAGAAGCTTGTTATCAATGTCCCAATACAGCAAATATAGTGACTATAAAGCAAGTAACAAATTTAATTTCAGGTGCAACAATAAATGTCATATCAACAGATGATAACAGCCAACATTTCATTTTTCAATTCATGGTCTGAGAGTAGTGAAATAATTCCTAAAACAATTTGGCAAAAGCTAAAGCTTCTTAATGTGGAAAAATATTAAAACCATCAGCTTACAGTTAAATAGGAATTTTTACCACTTGCTCATGATGTGAGTTTTTGTTAGAAGATTGGTATTAAATCTCTCACCTGCAAAACATACACAAAACACAATATTTCCCACCCCAGAAAAAAAAAGTCAAAATAAAACTGCTGATAAAAGTCAGGAATGTAACAAGCTACAAAAATGCTTGCTATTTAATCTAGCATCTGAGAATGGATGTTTTCAAGGCCCTGCAATCAACAGACACATGCTTAGCTTTAATAAATAATAGTGAAAGATTCAAATTCCAATATATATATATATATATATATATATATATAAAAGAGAGAGAGAGAGAGAGAGAGAGAGAGAGAGAGAGAGAGAGAGGTTATGATCAGGTTAGTCAGTATCCATGCAATGGTGAGCATAGTATGACTCAAGATGTTAGTTAGCCAATCACTGGCATCAAGAGATTACCATGAAAGACCAGAGTCTGCTGTCAGCATCCAGACTGTGTTTGATGTTGCCTGTCATACCAGATAAGTGTGGTAATGTTGAGAAAAGCGTACCTTGGAGTTATAAAGTTCATCGTAGTTATCAGAATAACGGTAAAATTCCTTGTTGTAGTCCTGGCGCCATTGGTCCATCAGAGTTGGAGATTCGGACTTTACGTCTTTCTTCTTCTCCATTGTGCTGTCCGAGTCTGTGTAGGAATCAGTACCTGCAGGGTAGAGATTAGACTCTATTTAGAGTTGACAGTGGCTATGGACAAGAATTTGAATCTCCTCCTCAGGTAACAGATTCAATTTCTCTCCTTAGATGACAGGACTGAAATCAACAATTTAATTGCCACCCTTTCACTACACAGCATCTGCTCTTTATAGTCCATTAATTGGAATGAATTTGCATGCAACAGGAAAATGTTTGAAATGTGTGAACTACTCAAGATAAAAATGGGATTGATAAAAATTTCCTTACAAGCTGATTTATAGTTGTTCGTAAATGAAAGTAGTCTCACCCAAGAAAGCAACCACAATGACCAACATAGTGCAAATCTTTAATGAGGTTATCCTTTTTAAATAGCTTAGCTCTACAGTGGTTAAAAAAAAAATTAAATTTACTAGTTATAAGGGAAATTTAACTGATTTCAATTCAATTATATGAAAGTTGCATTTATAAATACAATATGTCTTCATCCATTCATTCAGATAAGCAATGTATGACTTATAATCAGCATAAAATTACCAAAGTTGATAATAGTATCTTTGTTTATAAATAACCATTCTTACTAAAACTTACTTTTAAAGATTACAGCTTATGAAATATCCAAGTCATTTTACAGACAGAAAGCATAATATAAACAAAACTAAATAGTAATTTATTACAAAAACTAAACAAAACAACACCAACAACAAAATGAAAAGACTTAAGCAAACACTTTCTTCTAAAATTTTTTTTTTTAAATTAAATATCAAGTATTTTTCCCATCAATTTAGCTTAAAAATGTAAACTTACCTGAATCAGTATTTTTATATTTGTGATAAATAACACATGCCAGGATAATAATCAATATGACGGCTACACTCCCTACGGCGCCACCAATGATATACGGCATTGGTAAGACCTCTGTAAGAAAAAAAGACATGTAATTAAGAATTTTTACCATAACTTTATGCCAATTATATTGACATAAACTGTAAAATTTAAAATAATAACTATGAAAATCATTAACTATGTTAGAGTGAGGAATAAAATGTTATACATTTCTTCTAAATGTATATTTTATGAAAATAACAAACAATATAACTGATAATTAAAATTGTGCTTAAAAGTAAATGCCAAAAATATAGCCCCACTTTCCTGAGAACATATGCAGCATGGCTTAGAGTCACATTCCAGAGTTGTGTATTTGGGGTGTGGCTACTGGAAATTTAGTCAGATAGGGAACATGACATGTTTAATGGGGTTTAATTCTGCTAAGTTCTGGGGCTAGTGGAGTATCTGAAAGTTAACAAATGACCCAAGCACCAGTTTCATGTCACCTGCACATAATAGGAACTGCATTATCTTCCTGGAACAAATCCTAACCATTAGGAAACAAAGTGAGCATAAAGGAATGTAAATAGTTTGCGAGAAGCTCTATCACACCTGTCAAGACTATTTTCAGTTTCATTCATGTGTATCATTGTGAACTTCAACGAAACACATTCCAGAACCACTACCAGTTTGCTCAACACTGTTGACATAGTATAATGTAATTTTTCCCACTTATGAATACCTGAGCCATCTGAATGTGACTCATCTGTCTTGATACAATGGTACCTTCCATGGTCCAATGTCTAACTGATGCAACAGTGTCAATAATAGTACCTTTTTTTGACATTTCAGTTTATAAAAAATCTTTATTTTGAAAAAGTATCTTCTTAATCTATAACAAGCAATACAAATAATTGAAAATCCACATTATGCATCAGAAAATCAGAGATAAAGACATAAGATATAAAATACTGAATAATAATTGTAATAGACTATAAGAAAGCAATTTTCTATCTATTTGCCAATATACCAGTATTTACTGCATGTATCATATATTTGTATAAGTCTGATCAGTTCGATAAGGTCAAATTGGCAGTTGATCTCAAAAGTGACCTAAAATCAGCTGTTAATTGGGGCAAGGAATAGCTTGTTAATTTTAATGCCTCTAAAGCAAAACTGCTTTCTGTTAATCATCTGAGAGACCCATTTCTGCCTTCCATTAGCATGGCTGATGCTAACCTCCAGGAGAGTGACTCATTGCACAGGCTAACGTTCTCAGCTGTCATGAAGTGGAATGTTTATATTGCATCAATTTCTAGGTCTGCTGCTAAGAATATTGGTTCACTATGTTGCACAATTTTTCTTTTCAGAATCTATCTTACATATTTATAAGTCTACAATTTGTCCATGCTTTGAATATTGCTGCCACATATGATCTGGTGCTCCTGCTATATATTTAGAGATTCTGGACAAAATCCAAGAATCCAGATCAGAACCAATAATAATGGTTCTGACCTGGCATCCTGGCTTCTGAAACTTTTTCACTTCTGTAATGTAGTTTCCCTGTGCCTTTTCTATAAATACTTCCATCTAAAACTTTGATGCTATTCCTTTACTGGTGACTTTGTAAATTTAGGATATTAAATAGATTGGCAACAAGGTCTCTATCCCTTTTTACTTCAATCAAGATGTAACCATGTTATCATCCTCTGTTTTTTCTTTTGACGTTTTGCCTGTAAATTCTTCTTAAAATCTACTTTTGAATCATCTGGAATATCCTTGCCTAACTTCCCACTTATAACTGAGTCTCTGTTAAGTGATATGCATATAACTCCCTTCCATGGTTTCTGCTATCACCTCTAACTTAGATCCTCACAAAGCATGTGGACTTGATGGTATCCCTGTAATAGTCATTAAAGTGTGCTCCTGAATTGGATCCTGTTCTCTCTAAACTGTATAATAAATGCCTTACTGCCTTCTGCTTTCCTGCCTGCTGGAAGTCATCATCTGTTATTCCAGTTTTTAAGAACTCTGGTGAACTTTCCAACCCTTTCAACTATTGGCTTATCCTACCTTTTTTTGAGAAACTCCTAGAGGCCTTAATCTATCCTGAATTTATTCATCATCTCATCACAGGGCCTTTTTCAGACAAGCAATATGGTTTTTGTTTCATCAGGTCAACTGCTGATGTATTCATGATAATTATGGAAAGAGTCTACCATACTCTAGATAAAAATAATGAAGCCCAGGCTGTAGTGTTGGACATCTGGAAAGCCTTACAGGTTTTCTTCACAAGCTGAAAGTTATAGTGTCTCTGGACACATTTTTGAATTGATCCAGTCTTTCCTATCAAATTGTGAAGTGAAAGTTTTCTTGAATGGCCACTCATCCTTTCGTACTAAAGCAGGTGTCTGCTTTCCATCAGTATGGCTGATGCTAATCTCCAGGAAAGTAACTTGTTGCACCTTCTCAGGCTAATGTTCTCAGCTGACATGAAGTGGAAAGACTATATTGAATACATTGCCAGGTCAGCTGCTAATAAAGTATTGGGTGAGACAATTTTTCTTTCCAGAATCTATCTTACATGTCTATAAGTCTACCATTTGTCCATGCTTAGAATATTGTTGCCACATATGATCTGTTTTCCCTGCTATTTATCTTGAACTCCTTGATAAGATACAAAGAAGAATCAGTGTTATCTGTTGGCTTGACTTCACTTACTTTTCCACTGCCATAATGTTGCCTCTCTTCTGGCTTCTTGCTTTTCAGCCAACTTTGATGTTCAAAAGTTTAAATTCAGTGTCAATTGTTATCTACTGTCTTCTTGATTCGTCTTCTTTTATTGTTCCCATTCCTTAACAATGTTTTCTTTTTTGATTCCTTTACACCCAGTAATCCATTATGTTTAAGTGGCTTTACTGCATTGCTTGGGGTGAAATGATTAATGTAAAATAATTTTATGCATGTGTGTGCAAATATACACAAATATGGTAATATATATATTACACAAGGGCAGGTGCCAACAAAAATGTGTGATTTATAAAGTTGAAATACACATGAATAAACCTAATAGTAGGAATGGAAACATTAAATGTTACATAGGATCCACCCTAGGTAATTTCAAAAAGCGTTACTACAATCATTTAAGTAGCTTTAAGCATGAAAATTACAAACACAGCACTAGCCTGTCTACAGAATATTAAACAACAAGATGGTATTGACACCATCTTAAAATGGGAAATATTAAAAAAATGCCATAAGTATAAATCAGGGGACAAGTATTGCTTATTATGTATGGAGGAAAAATTAACAATAGCCACCTCCAATGAACCTAATAATTTATTAAATCAAAGATCTGAGATTTTAAATAGGTGTAAGCATAGGAAATCCTGGTTATTGGAATAGAGGATTCGTTTTTTTGTTTTTTTCTTCTCTATCTTCTTCTGTCATGCAGTTTTATGCTAATTAGGTTTTAGTGTTTTTTATCAATAAATACTGTTTCATGTCATTTCCTTTTAGCCAGCCACCCTGATTTGTTTAAAGTGAAACCTAGGTAAGTTGTTCCTGGCTCTTTTATATTTATTTCATATATATGTATATATATATATATATATATATAAATATATATATATATATGTTATTGTTTTTTAAAAATCCCTCTTTGCATGCATTTTTTGTTGAAAATGACTAACAAGGTGTTGGGGTTGAGTTTTTTATATAATTTTTCATAAAAACTGTATAATTTTTCTTTTTTTTATATTTTCATTTAAAAGTAAAATAAAATTCATCAAGATAATAGCTAAAAGTATTTAAAAGTTTTGGAAAACATTCAGCCAATTTTTATATAATTTATGTCCTGAAAAGAAAAAATTATACAAACGTATGAGAAATTATATAAAATACTCAACCACAGCACCTTGTCAGTCATTTTCAATGAAACTTATATATATGTATGTATGTATATATATATATATTACAATATTGTTATATATATTATAATTTTTGTTACTATTTTATTGTGCATTGATTTAAAATAAAAAATTTTATTCCAAAGATTACAGATAAAGCTAAAATATGACACAGGCTAATGGATAATCAAGTAATATCAGTTTTATAGAATATTTTGTCATTATAAAAGAACTTTCTTCTTATCGCAATTAAAAGTATTGTTGACAAATCAATGTAAATAGTAGACGATATAACTTGTCGGTTACCTCACTTCACTAAAAAATTGTTGCTAGGGGCCACTACTATGAATAGGCAATGACATTATCTGTCATCCTCTCTTTTCTATTTTTAGAAAATAAGATGTAGTTCACACATGAGTCTGCATTTATTGTTGTGGGGAAAATATTCCAGGAGATACGTGTTTTCTATTTAAAACGCAGCTAGCATTCCTGCAACAAACTGCAGAAAACTTTCAAAAGATGAGTTCATTTGTAACTCATCTTGTATTATAAATATTTGTGTAGAACGCAAATGTAAGGGAATCTATTTTGTATTATTTAAACGGAGTTATCTACCCTGATAATTAAAAAAGAGAAAATGAATTAAATGAATGCTTATAATTTATCAGAATTTTATATTTCCATTAACTACAAATCAATATGAGAATGTAAGAAAATAAGGAATCGGATATATAATTATTAAACTGAATTTTAAAATATTTAAGTGAAAATATCTAATGTAAAACTCACATGATTATAATTAAAACTTTGAAATTAAAAAAAAATAACAGCACGCAAAGAAAAATACCTGAGTATAAATAAAATAAGTTATCACAGATATTTTTCTTTGAATTTTAGTTTAAATATCTGCCAGAAGGAAAATACTGAAATGTTCTTAGACTGACCACAAAAGGATTTTAAAAATAATTCTCAAATTTTGTCATTTGGGTAAGGTTAACAACTTTTTGACATTTCAAAGAAATTTTGCTGATTTTCTACACTTTCATCTAACTCAGCTTATCATAATTTACAAGTTTCAAACAGGTGTATCTTTTATTATAGGCTTAAATGACTGTATAATAAAAATGCTTTCATGACTAAACACCACTTTAAGTTTCAGTGTTAACACACACACACACACAA